GGTCCTGGGTGCTCAGTACAGACCACAAGGCCAGGTCCTGGGCGCCCCGTACAGGCCACAAAGCCAGGTCCTGGGTGCTCAGTACAGACCACAAGACCAGGTCCTGGGCGCCCTGTACAGGCCACAAAGCCAGGTCCTGGGCACCCAGTACGGGCCACAAAGCCAGGTCCTGGGTGCCCCGGACAGGCCACAAAGCAAAAACGGTGTTTTAAGATAGTTCCTTTTGACACTTAGCTAGGGCTCTGATGTGTTCACACTTGGGGTAACATCTAGAAGCTACTCTTACAGTGTCAATTCAGGCACAATGGCAGGTCACTCTGGCTCTTCATGAAGCTTTACAATAAATCCTTCAAAGAATGAAGAGTGGGAAAATTTGTTTCTCCCTTGGAGTCCTTTTCCTTTTCCAGAGGCTGCTGTCATGCACACATGGTGTAAGACATTCTAAGAAATCGGGGTCACAAGGGGAGAAACGAGACAATTCTAGCAAACCTATGTAGAAATGAAGAGACAGATCTGGGGACAGGCTGGGAGGTAACACACTGTTTTCAAAGAGCTGTCATACACAGTGTGACTGTTCTCAGAAGCAGGCATGGGAAACCAGACACCCAACTACAGAAGAAAGCTGGGGTCTTGGCCTGATAGCTTTCATGTCTTTGAATCTGGCGGGTGCTCAAGCGCCTTTTCCAGAATAGGCCAAGGAAGACAAGTCCAGTTTGGTATTTAAGGCTTTAGTCAGCTCCCTGGCCAGCAGCTCATGCAGGGACACGCCGTCATGGGAGTACACCCAGTTCTTCCCGGTCCAGTCATAGCGCTTAGGGCCACTGCAAGACAAAACAAATGCATGTTAAGTAGTGCAGACCCTCTTTAGGAGAGCCACTGTGTCTGGGCTACATCAAACAACCCATCTATTTATTTTTTGTGTGTTTGTTTTGTTTTTCAAGACAGGGTTTCTCTGTGTAGCCATGGCTGTCCTTGAACTCAGAGATCCACCTGCCTCTGCCTCCTGAGTGCTGGGATCAAAGGCACACACTACCACCACTCAGCTTATCTGTCTTTGAACCTGAAGTTTTTCTTTTTCTTTTCTTTTCTTTTTTTTTTTTTTTTTTTGGTTTTTCCAAGTTAGGGTTTCTCTGTAGTTTTAGAGCCTCTCCTAGAGCTAGCTCTTATAGATCAGGCTGACCTGATCTGTCTGCCTCTACCTCTGAAGTGCTGGGATTAAAGGCATGCACCACCACCGCCCACAGCTGAACATAGAGTCTTATTCTATATCTTGGATCTGGATACAGATGGCCTGGACCTTACTTATATAGCCAAAGCTGGCCTTCAACTTGTAGCAACTCTCTTGACTCAGACTCCTAAGTATTAGGATTAAGACAACCACATTTTGTTGCAGGATATTTGATCATACTGTGTGAAAGGTATATTCTAATTGATTTAATAAAGAGCTGAGGGGCTGGAGAGATGGCTCAGAGGTTAAGAGCATTGCCTGCTCTTCCAAAGGTTCTGAGTTCAATTCTCAGCAACCACATGGTGACTCACAACCATCTGTAATGGGGTCTGGTGCCCTCTTCTGGCCTGCAGGCATACACACAGACAGAATATTGTATACATAATAAATAAATAAATAAATATTTAAAGAGCTGAATGGCCAACAGCTAGGCAGGAGAGGATAGGCGGGACTTCCTGGCAGAGACAGGAACTCTGGGAAGAAGAGAAGTGGGATTTGCCAGCAAGATGCAGAGTAAGTCAGAGTACAGTATGGAGGAGAGGTAATGAGCCACATGGCAGAATGTAGATTAATATAATGGGTTAATTTAAGTTATAAGAGCCAGCTGGGGACAACCCTAAACTAAGGCCTAGCTTTCATACTTACTAAGAAGTCTTTGTCATCATTTGGGAGCTGGTGGTACAAAGAAAGTCCGACTACAACATCTGGCTGGACTAGATCTTAAAGGTCCCACTGGGGCCCACGATTAAAAGCTTATTGGCCAGTCCATGACTCTATTGGAACTTCATAAGGTGGTTTGTTAGGTCACTGGCAGTGTGATTGGGATCCTGCCAGGGGAGCAGCGTCCTTCCGCCATACATCCCCTGCCCCGTTCTGTTTCACTATAGGCCCAAAGATGCCGTGAGCCAAAACAAATGCCCACCTTTGCATTGGAGAGCTAACAGGATCCACAGAGCTGCCTGCCATGCAGAGACTGACCGACCGCAGCTTTACAGCGACATGCAGCGAGGTGAACTTCTGATTTCCTCAGTTAGCGTCTTCCTAAGGGTAACTGTACAGTCTGCCCTCTAGAACGCCGCAGAGCCTGGCTCTGTGGGTCTCCCGCAGCACACTTTCTACCCCTCTGGACACCCGTTATCTTACAGCAATGCTTGGAAAATGAGGGTCATTTTGGGCCACTCACGACTGGATCCCAACCCACACGACTGTGTCACTACTAACTCTATCTAGGTCCAAGACACCCCTATTACCCCGAAAGAAGTCCCAGTACCTACTAACTAGTTACCCTTGCCTCTCCTTGCCTTGACTATACCTGTGCTATTATTAAGAACTTCGCTGGGCATGGTGGTGCAGGCCCTTAATCCCAGACGTTGGTAGACAGAGGCTGGCATGGCTTACAGAGTGAGTTCCAGGCCAGTCAGGGATACAAGGTAAGACCCTGCCTCAAAAACCAAACAAACCAAACGTCCATCCTTCCACGGGGTCTCATGTATCATGTAGTCTCTTGAACATCTCATGTTAGCCAAGGATAACCCTGAACTCCTGATCTTCTTGCCTATATCTCTTAAGTGCTAGGATTCCTGGCATGCTCCATAATTTCTAGCTAAACACATTTTTCCTTATGAAAAATTAAATCTGTAAAACGGAGAGCTTCATCAGTGTGTCCCATACACCACCATTATCTGTTGCTGTGTCTACTCTATTCTCCAGGCCATCAAGTGGAAGAATTTAGGACACGGTTTTATGTGACATCCTAATACTGCAACCTTTAAGAGGAGTGATTCAGATCACTGGGGATGTGTCCACAAAAGGGAATGTGGGACCCTGTCTAATCTTTCTGGGTTTCCCATCACGAGATGGGACGTTGCTCCTATGCATGCTCCCACCACGGTATGCCGTTGTATAAAAAGCCAAACTAATGTTCCTCACATTCCTTCAATCTTGGACTTTGAGCTTCCAAAACCATGAGACAAATAATCCTCTCCCCTTTTATAAGTAACTGGCTCAGTTATTTAGTCATAGCAACGTGAATCTGGTTACTACACAGTACTGTGGACAAAGCTGTACCTGTTTCCCCCTCCCCATGATTTGTTACTCCTGACGTATAAGACCCATGTCTCAAATTCTGCCTCCTCGTGGCCTGGAGAACAGGGTAGCGAGAGCAACAGATGACGCTGGTGTATGGGGGCATCCTGATGAAGGCAGCAGAGAACCCTGAGAGTTCACGGCCTGGGACCCCAAAGTCCACCCAGAACACTCAAGAGAGAACTTTCAAAGACAGGCCAGAAGAGTGGGGATCTAGCTCAGTGGTAGAGGGCTTGTCCTGTCCCAGAATGTGAGATTCATTGTTAGACCCCTAGCACTATGAAAATCAGGAGAAGACTGAGGTGGGAAGGCAGCCTCCTGGGGTGGAGGGAAAGATGTGAGGTATCTTTTGTAGGTATAAACATATGGAGCCTTTTAATATTGGCAAGGAAATGTTGGAATTTAAACATGCACCAACAATACAGAAAAAAGGGTGAATAAATGGGCAAAGCTTCTGCTTAAAGAACAGAAACCTCTGAACACAAACTACTCGGGCCACATTAAAGCAAAACAGAACCAGCAGCCGGGCATTGGTGGTGCAACCTTAAGGCGAATCTCTGTGAGTTTGAGGACAGCCTGGTCTACAAAGCAAATTCTAAATAAAATAGCCAGGGTTACACACAGAAACCCTGTCTCCTCCTCCTCCCCCAAGACAAACAAAAACAAAAACACAAGAAACAAAACCAGAGGAAAGCAATATTGTAAGATGTCCTTTGGTCCTGGTGTTCCCCACAGGATTCTTCTACCCCAGACGGCAAGGTGGCCAGAAAACACCACTCTCTCCACAGGACCTCAGCAGTTTCCTGCTGAAATAAGAAATTATAACCACGGCCCAGCGAAAGATATTCTGGTTAATATGAAATTACTTTGGCGGGGGGTCTGGAGAGCTGGCTCAGCGGTTCAGAACAAGCTGCTCTTCCAGAGGACTGGTTGGACTTCTTGTACCACACTGGGCTGCTTAGTTCCTACTGCTTGTGACTTCAGTTCCGGGGAACCTGATTCCCATGGCTGCTGTGGGCATGGGTGCTCACCCACACCTACACCCACCAACACATAAATAAAAATACCCCCACCCTCCTCTATCCCCCTTGAAAGCAACACAGCACGGTGAGGAAGGACCACTTAGGAGGTTTCCCCTCTACGTCCCTCATATAAATGGCAGGTTTAAAGAAAGCGTTTACTTGGAGTCTCTGTAAGTGATTATAATTTTCCCATGGTGTATGTGAGCTGCCTGACACGGGAGCCGGGATTTGAACTCTAGTGCTTGTGCTGAAGTAGTAAGTGCTTGTAACCACTGAGCAACCTCTCCAGCCTCCTTGATATGGTTTTTGCTTGCTTGTGTGTTTACTGTGGTGCTGGGAATCCAACCTAGAGCCTTCTCTCATGTGCTAGGCCAGTTCTCTGCCACTGAGCCATACCGTGGCACATTTTAAGTGTTTTAAACTGCCAGTACCATTAGGCTTTCAGAGAATTCCACACTGGTTCTAGCTGAGCTTTCCCACTTTGCCTTCAAAATGTCTTCTTTAGTGGTGCTGCTGAGTTTCAGCAAGGTTAGTGTGAAGGCTCTGTGCCAGCACCTGTGCGCGAGCGTCTCCATGCGAGCATCTCGTGTCTCCGCGAAAGCGTCTCTGTGCGAGCATCTCTCAACCCTTCTCAGACCACTGCAGCAGGCAGCTGTATGCTCACTAGTAAGCTCTCGGTTCTGAGACCTGGGCTGCCTGCAGTGCACCCCACTGTTCCTTCAACTGTAGCCACATCCATGGGGCAGGCCCTGGAGCTGCTGCTAAAAAAAATCACTGTCCCCACTGCCACAAAGTCTGGGTCCAACTCTGACAACAGAATTACTGAGACCTTCAAAACTGGCTGGGAGTTACAGTTTAACTAACTTTGAGGACAAAGTGCAGGTTTCTCAGATGCTACAACATAAAAAGTTCCTCTCTCTCTTTCCCTCCTTCCCTTCCATTTTGGGAATTGGATCCAGGGCTTATAGATTGCCAGACAAGCATTCTTATTACTGAGATATACACCCCAGCCTTCAAAGTAGCTTTTTAATTAGCTTTTTTTTATTTCAAAAAAAAAATGCTGTCATATGTAACAAAAGTAGCTTATGGATAGCCCTGGCTGTCCTGGAACTCACTTTGTAGACCAGGTTGGCTTATTTGCCTCTGTGACAGGGTCTTACTTGATAGCCCAGTCTAGCCTTTGACTGGGCTAGGCACTTTAAACTACTGTCTCTATTTCCTGAGTGCTGAACTATAGATATGTAACACTATATCTGGCAAAAGTATCTCTTTCAAAGGCAAGTCAAGTGATTTTTCTTTTCTAGGCAATGACATAACAGAAAAACTCTCTGGGCGAAGTTCCGAACAGTTCCCTTTGTTTCAGGTCTTGTCAACATCCTGATGCCTGAGGACAGCAACCGAGTTATCAATGGGGAAAAACATTCAACTGGAAGCGAGCCTTCCTGCCGGGGCAGCAGTTATAAATCCATAGTAAAGCCAGCGATGGACACCCTTTCAAGTGGTCCCCAATGCATATTTCCAATGAGTCCACCCCTTACAGACTCTGACTTCCCAACATACCTGGAGGGAGAAGATAACCAGATTTGCTTGTTTGGGGTCTGCTTATTGATCACGTAGGTCCCTAGATCCCCGCCCAGTTTAATGGTTAGCACGCCTCCCTAGGGGGTCAGGGGGAAGAAAGTGTGAAGAAAATAAACAAGATTAGTTAGCATAAGATAAGAACAAATACATAAAAATATTTGTTCATGTCTCAATGCCTTTCACGTATCCAAGGATGTAACACATACCATAACAAACAAGGGATCTGGGGATACCGCACTCTGGCAGTATGTGTTCAGGAGCTGGGAAGTCCCCTGTTCAATTCTTGGCACCAAAACCAAACAAAAATAGGGCTCACAATTAGGAATGTGTGTGGTAAAGACATTACCATCAGGATCAGAATGAATTGTTTTAATTTGACTTATAGACATGAGTTGTTGCCCTCGGAGGCCGAAGACACACAGGACTCTCTGCAGCTGGAGTTAAAGGTACCCGGGAGCCACCTGATGTGCTGTGGGTGCTGGGCCAGAAACCCTGGTTCTCAGGAGAGAGTAGCAAGCTCTTAGCCACTGAGCCGTCTCTGTGGCCACCACAGTGAGTTAGGCATAATAAAGCTTGGAGCTCACACTGCGTTCTCTCTGCCTGTGTGGTCGGCAAGGAAGGAAGGTTAAGACTTGCCTGAGAACTCAGCAATGGTGAACCGGACCGCTAGCTTTCTGCCCTCCACCGCCAATCAGAACACGTACAAACAGACTAAACTCTAATGGTGTCTGCCCAGGCATCAGACCTGACAAGTCCATTAAGAAAACAGAGAAGGAAAGCGGGTATGGTGGCAAAAATCTGTAATGTCAGTGCTTGGGAGGCTGGGGGTGGGGGTGGGGGGACTTGTGAGTTTGAGGCTAGCAGGCTGCACAACAAAATCCAAAAGGGAAAAAGGCAAGAGAAAAAAATAATCAATACTCTGCCTTGTTTGTCTTAGAAGAGCAGGAGGGGAGAGCCCTAGCCTATCTGTGTTTTCAGACCCTTCCCAGGCATCTAGCAAATAAATGTTCAGAGAATCCACAAGGCTTCATTTCCCCCTAACAAGCCTTGCATCCTCAAAAGACTGGCCAGTCCATTTTGTTCAAGAGATGAACATTTAAATTTGAAAACACCCAACAAAGGAGCCCTCCACTCTCCAGGCCTTAGTCTCTTTAGAAAAGAAACAATGGCTGAGCACTAAGTACACTCTCAGAGTTCCCTCTGTCGCTTGGGGCTGGAGCCTAGTGCACCAACCAAGGCTTGCTCTGTCCTTTGCCCAGTGTTCATCCAATCAGGAGTCTTGACATGCTTCTCACAGCACACCCTTACAAACACAGGCAGCCATTTAAATAAATGCTAGAGGCTGGCTCCATAAAAATGTAGCCAGTAGGTATGGGAGGGGGATGCAAGTGAGTTCTCTCTCTCTCTCTCTCTCCCTCTCTCTCTCTCTCTTTCTCTCGATAGGGTTTCACTAGGTAGCCCAGGCAGGCAACAAACCTGTAATATCTGGGCCTCAGTGCCAGGATCACAGGCATGTACCACTATGCCCAGCTTCTCTCTCTCCTTCTAAAATAGTTTTTTTTTTTTTTAAAGATTTATTTTTGAGTGCTCTATCTGCATGTATAACTTTATCCCAGGAGAGGGCATCAGATCCACCACAGATGGTTGTGAGCCACCATGTGGCCGCTGGGAATAGAACTCAGGACCTCTGGAAGAGCGTTCTTAACCACTGAGCCATTTCTCAGCCCCCTAAAGTAACATGTGTTTTCTCCCTGATGAAAACAAAGTAACAAAGACGGGCAAAGTTCTCAAGGCAGAGGTCACAAAGCTCAGGTTCCTTCGCTCAGCCTCCTTACTGTGACTGGACTCTTTCCCCAGGGTCTCCAGCTATTCCAGAGGACAGTGGCAGAACGGAATGAACCAGCTGCTGTGCTGGCTTACCAGGGCCTCAAGACATTTAGAACGGTCTGTAAGTAGATGGAGGTTTCCAGCTCCCTACTGTCGTCCGTTAGCCAATGTGAGTCCATTTGGAAGACTGGGCACACTTATGTGCAGGGAGGGGACTGTATTACTCACACGTTCCTCGCTGTGATAAATAAACCTCATGGGAAGATTTACCCTGGCTTACAGTGTACGGGTAACTGCTGTGGTGTTTCTGGCCTGTGGCAGCGCCATGCGGTAGAAGGGTGTGGTGGGGGACCTGCTCCTCAAGGCAGCCAGGAAGCAAATTGGAGAAGAGAGAGGCCAGGGATAAGGGGCCGTTGAAAACTCCAGCAACCCACTTCTTCTTTAGTCCCAGTCTCCACCCCTCCCAAACTCTCCACAATAGTCCGTGGATCACAAATCCATCAGCAAAACAATTCTTCAGTTAGGTCAGGGCCTCAGCACCAATCACCTCAGTGACACCACCAGCTGGGAACCTGGCCCTCAACCCAAGTCTCTGTGGGGCATCCAGATCAAATCACAATGGAGAGGAACAAAATACCCAGCAATGGCTAAGGCACAGGGACCAATCGGAGGTGAGCCTCACACCAACCAACCAACCAGAGCAGAACCAGACCCAGCTGGCCAGGATTACTGATTTGTGCCTGTGAAGATTAGCGCTGCCCCTGCAGGAACAGAGACTGTTGTCTCCTGGTCGTCTGTAGAACTAGGCACACGAGAGATGTCATACTGAGCCAGGGCCCTTCACATGCATGTGACTTCTAGCTAAATAAAATAATATATGTGAAAGGTTTTTATTTTATTTTATATTTTTTACCATTTCCCCTATCATTTTGACAACCATCTGCCCTACATAATCCTAAGATTTACTTCAAAATGCACACTCATGACATTTCCTGGTATTAATGAATTGCTGTCAAGAGGATTAACCTCCGTCTGTATTGGGGTGGTGGTGGTGGAGGGGGGATGGGTAAGAAAAGGAGGAGGACCATTTTTCTCCCAATGGTAAAAGGCCCAAGCAGACCCTTGCTTAGTCTGCCATCTGGTGGCCAGCATGTAAACTTCCCTAGCTCCCAATGGCTGGGTAACCGCTCATCTAATTCAAAGTTCTCAGCCTATCATGGGGTCCATCTGCTAACTCAATTCCTTGCCTAGAGCATGCTACATTAATTAAATCAAAATTTCTAGGGGTTGAACTCAGGGCTGCACAGCAGAATTGCAGGTGAGCCAGGGTGTTTAGTTCCAGTGGATCTTCAAGGCCAGCCTGGGACAGTCAAGGCTACACAAAGAGACCTTGTCTCAAACAAAAACAAACAAACAACAAACAAACAAAAACCCCCAAAAGACTCAGAATGGGCTGCTTTTTATAGTAGAGTGGAGCCGGCTCAGGGCCATGTACGGAGGAGTCTGGACTTGGACAATTGTCCAAGGTTGGACTCCGAACCTCTGTTTTTTACTCTTCAATACCAGGGACTGAAGCCAGAGCTTCACCCAGGGTGGGTAAAGAGCTCTTTCCCTAACTACGCACCCACAAGACACCCACCCCAGCCCTGGGAATCTGTTTTTTTTTAAAGAGTAATAATTCTTAGGTAGAGCAGTGGTGGTACACACCTTTAATCCCAGCACTTGGGAGGCAGAAGCAGGTAGATCGCTGTGAGTTAGAGGCCAGTTCCCCAGGACTGGCTCCATAGCTACTGGGAAGCCCTGTCTTGAAAAAAAAAAAACTTTAAATAATTCTTTAAGATTTGTTTATTATGTATGTACAGTGTTCTGCCTACACGTATGTGTGCATGCTAGAGGGCACCAGATTTTATTATAGACGGTTGTGAGCCAGTGATGGGGTGCTGAGAATTGAACTTAGGACCTCTGGAAAAGCAGCCAGTGCTCTTTTTTTCTTTTGTCTTTTGTCTTTTGCTTTCTTAAGACAGGGTTTCTCTGTAGCTTTGGAGTCTGTCCTGGAACTCACTCTGTAGACCAGGCTGGCCTGCCTTTGTCTCTTGAGTGCTGGGATTAAAGGTATGCGCCACCACCACCCAGCTCATCCAGTGCTCTTAACCACAGCCATCTCTCCAGCCCAGGAATCTGTATTTAAATGCAAGAGGTTCAGGGAGGCAGAGTGACTTGTCCAAATTCACATGAATCCTAGTTTTTAAGCCCCAACCACAATCTATGTTGCTAGATGGTTATGTTCATTGGAGGCTATTTTTTTAAACTCCGTATAATTATTTTTAAAATTTACATATTATTCTGAATGTGTGCATGAGGAGTGTGTGTCCACTTGTACACCAGGGTGTGGATTCAGTTTCTTCCACCGTATGTGGGTTCTAAGACTTCAACTGAGGTTATCAGGTTTGGGGAGAGCAGCAGTTTTACCCACTGAGCTCCACTAGTATCCCTGGTTTTTTGAGACTGAGTATCACTACGTAGTTCTGGGTAATCTGGACCTCACTGTGTAGACTAAGCTAGCCCTGACCATTCAGTGATCCTCCTGCATCTACTGTAGAGTGTAGAGTTATACCTGTGTGCCACCTTGCCTGCCTGGGGGGCATTCTCTTGTTTTAGTTTCAATTGTGTATATGTGATGCTTCTTTTTTTTGTTGTTTGTTTAGCTTTTCTTTTTTTCTTTTCTTTTCTTTTTTATTTTTGAGACAAGTTCACACGTAGCCTGGGCTCCCTTCAACTTTACTAAGTTACTGAAGATGACCTTGAATTTGTAATCCTCCTGCCTCTACCTCCTGAGTGTTAGGATTATAGGCTGTATCACTATGCTCAGTTGTATGCAGTGCTAGGGACTGAAGTCAAGGCTTTGTGTATGCTAGGCAAGTATTCTACCAACTGAACTACATCTCCAGCCTAAGTTACAGGATTTTTTTTGTTTATTTGTTTGTTTTGAGACACGGTTTTTCTGTGTAGCCTTGGTTGTCCTGGAACTTGCTCTGTAGACCAGGCTGGCCTGGAACTCAGAGATCAATCTGCTTGCCTCTGCCTCCTGAGTACTAGGATTAAGCACTAAGTTAGAGTTTTTAGGGAGGGAATAAAAACTAAAAGAAGCCAAAAGGTACCCCAAAAGAGACGTCATAGTCCTCCAGAGTATAGGGCTTATCTGCAAGGTCTTCAAAGAACTCTGCCAGGGCGTCCAGCGTCTCCTCCGCAAGTCTTTCATAAGCTGTCTCGTCTAGGGAGCTGCAGGAGGAAAGAAACCCACCAGAGCGTTGTCACCAACCGCACAATCACAATAAATACATACAAACCGAAAAAAAAAATGCTTTCCAGCAGAAGTAAGCAGCTAGCAACATGGAGTGTGGATGATACAAAAACACTAGGGTTCAAGACAGCCCTGCTGGGCCAGTCACCCTGATACTCTGAGCCTCTTTTCTGGTTAGTACCAAGATCACGTATCAACTTTTATTTTTGTCTTGTCTTGAGACAGGGTCTGGATACATAGTCTTAATAGGCTTCAAGCACACAGCAACACTTTAGCTTGCCTTAGACTCATGATGTTGACATCATTCTACATTGACATTACCTAGCTTTTCTCATTCATTTACTTTTCGATTATATTTTTATTATTTCTTTTAAACTGAGGATTCAGTGTATTTATTTTTTAAATGATTTGTTTACTTTTATTTTATGTGCATGGTGCTTTGCCCGCATGTATGTCTATGTGAGGGTGTCAGATCCCTTGGAACCGGAGTTACAGACAGTTGTGAGCTGCCATGTGGGTGCTAGGCATTGAACCTAGGTTCTCTGAAAGAGTAGCTGCTCAGTTGGAAGTTCCAGTTTGCTCATGTATGGTCTGAGTACTCCCCCCCCTCTCCAAACCCCACTGTCTCAGAGAATCTCCAACAAAGGTGCCACAAAGCCCAGTTCTGCGTTCTTGGCTCCTCTCCTGAAGTTGCCAGCAGCCCAAGTCCCCACCTAAGACATTCAGGTTTTGACCACAAACCCAGCTTGTCACAGACACATCATCAGCCCTCGCCTACACACTACATAACCTCCCTGCTTTAGTTCGGGTGCGTGACTTCTCCAGCCTCAATCTCAAGCTGGGAGTTGCTCTGCTCAAATAACCCCGTTCTTTTACTTTTTTCAGTTCGGATTGATTTGGTTTACTGCATTGGCAGAGAAACCTATTATCTCAATGCAGAAAACTTATTAGCAGCCAGTGCTCTTAACTACAAAACCATCTCTCTAGCCCCTCACTTATATTTTTAAATTGGTGGGAAACCTAGCATGTACAGAGCAAAAACTTCAAACTGCATGAAAGAAGTTACTAGAGAAGTATCCTCTTTCCAAACGACTGCCACCCCCAGGGACTGCATCTGATAAGTCTTTTCTGTGTTCTTCTGGGCCATCTTAAAATTTAAAAATATAAAAATGAAGTATCTTGTTTTTCTTTGAGACAAGGCCTTTCTAGGTAATTGGCCTTGAATTCGATCCTCCTGCCTCAGCTTTCAAAGCAGCTGTGATGACAGGCATGTACTACATGTCACACAGCCACTTCTGCTGGACACTGAGGCTGTGGTTTTCATTGATTTTTGTTACTAAATTTTCGCTGGGCAAGACACAAACAACATGGGAAAAAAATTATAACATGTATCTGAAAATGGACTAATCTAGAATACAAATCAGTAAAAAAATACCCAATAGAAAAACAGGCAAAACACTTGTACAGATTTCATAAAAGATATCCAAACGGCCAGTGAGCACGTGAAAAGATAATGAACTTTGTTAATGTTTTAAAAATGGAGATTAAAAAACAAGATACAAGGCAGGCAGTGGTGTGACATTCCTTTAGTCCCAGCACTCAGGAGGCAGAGGCAGGTGGATCTCTGTGAGTTCCAGGACAGCCAGGGCTACACAGAGAAACCCTGACACACAAAAAAACAACAACAAAAAGCAAAACAAACAAAAGAGATAATATCATGAAAGACCCAGAATGAGGGGCAAACAGGGCTTTCTGTACACCTGTAATCCCAGCACTCCTTAAACTGAGGCTGGAGGATTGTGAGTTTAAGAATAGCTTGGTCTATACAGCGAGATTCAGTCTGAAACAAACAAAACAAAACAAAAACCTCCAATTCCGTGCACGTGCTATGACCTCAGAGATGAGCTCATTAGTAGGTTCTGGGAGCCGAGGAAGGGAGGGATGGACCCTGACTAATGAAGGTCACAGTCCGGAATCATGAACATTTCCTGGAATTAGACAGTAGTGGCAGCTGTAAACACCTCTGATGACCTTATGGCATCTGAGTCATGACAATAAACCCCTGCTGCACTGGGAAGTGGCTCAGAGCTAGAAATGAATGCACCGCGTATAAGGGCCTGAGTTCTGGCCCCGGCAACAAAACAAAAGATTCTGCTGCAACAGTCTTCCTTCTGCGGGCTTCTGTGTCTCAGCAAGGGTATCAGATGGTTCACGAGATGGCCCCATTATCCAAAAGGTTCCCAGGGACTCACAGTGGCTGCTGGGTGCTAATGGTATCTAATCCGTCCTTTCCCCAGCCTACCCCATTACCACGGTAAAATGGGGGACAGGCTATGAGACTGACCAGAATGGTCAGAGCTGTAACTAAAGACAGTGGTTTATCTGATAGACTGTGAAGGACATTTCAAGGGTGAATGGAGAGAGGGAAGAAGAAAGGTGGGTCGGGGTGAATGAAGACCTCTAAGGACAGTTGGAATGGTCCTTAAAAACAATTACATTCAATTATTATTCATTCGGGTCTTTATATGCACACAGCATGGCATGCATGCGGAGGTAGAGAATAACTGTGGAGCAGTTCTCTCTCTCTGCCTTCCTGTGTGTTGCAGAGATCAAACTCAGGCTGCCAGGCTTGTACAGTAAGTACCTTTAGCCACTGAGCCATCTTACTAGTCCAGGCAGGATAGTCTTCTGTATGGCGGCGCCGTATCATTTTTAGGAGATGCAAAGGAAGGGAACAGTCAGGAAACAACTGGCCTGCTTGTAAGGGGATGGAAGGAAGGAGGCAGCCGACTCTGGGATTAACAGTTGCCTAAAGATGGAAGAGTCAGAGGGGGAAACTAAGCCTTGGAACACCAAAGGCTTCTGGTGAGCCAAAATGGGGTGTGGACGTGTGTGTGAGGTGAGGCGGGGGGAGTTCAACTCTGCTGCACCAGCCATTCAGGGCATTATGAGCATCACTGCTGGGTATGACCTCGGGGACCTGCCCTTCATGCAGAGAGCTGAGCGTGGAGGGATGCAAAGGAATAAGGCCGCTTCCAAGTAGGGAGACATCGGGATAAAGGCGTGGCATACTGGGCTGAGAGTAAGTAGTCAAGAGCTTCTAGATGTTTCAAAGAAAATCCATTACCAAAAAAAGTCTGTCCTAAAATAGTCACTGGATCCTTAAGATCGCTTTTGGAAGCAGAGTATTGTTACCAGACAGTGGGCTCTGATGGCTGCTTGCCCTCAAGGAGAGCGTGCTTCCCACTGCCTGCCTTCCTTACATCAGAAAGGATGATGGGCAATGGGTTCACCCAAGGCTGGGCCAGGGATTCCTGGTTTGCCAAGGCAGAGCTTATCCCAGGTTGCCCAGCAGATATCCACTGTGGCCCAGGGCTGCAATGACGCTATTCTCTCGGTGGGAGTTATTATTCTGGTTATCTTGCCCTTTGCCACTATAGGGTGAATGTGAGTGTGTATGTGTGCGTGTGTACGTGCATGTGTGTGTGTATTAGAGAGAGACAGACAGAGAGAAAGAGGGAGAGAGACAGAAAAAGGGAGAAAGAGAGAGAAATACAGACAGACAGACACAGAAGGCATTCCTTTGAGGTCTCTTTTCCTCAAGCTTCCCTCAGTGTGACAGTGAGTCTACTTCCTGTTGTCTGTAAGATGTAGCCCTCTTAGCTCCAGCACCACATCTGCCTGCACACGGCCCTGCTCCCCTTCATGATCATAATGGACAGAATCGCTGAACTGGAAATGAGCCACTCCAATGAAATGTTTTCCCTTCTAAGAGTTGCCGTGATCATGGTGTCTCTTCACAGCAAGAGGAAACCCTAACTAAGACAGCTTTCCTCAACTAGGATGCTGGAGGAAATAACAAAGCTCTGGGGGAAAAAATCCTGAATATTCAACAATAGGAACGAACAACAGGAAGTCTGGTATATCCACACAGAAACCTAGTCACTAAAAGTAACACGGCAGATGCTGGCAGATGCTCAGTGCCACGGGACGGTGTCACTACGGGTCGTTCCTAGGGAGAAGACAGTTTCTACATAGGAAGAGACGCCTGAGCTGCAAGGTGCTTTCATCTCACCTTGGGTTGTTCAAAGTTCCCGAGTTCCTCAAATGCACCATGCAGACACTTTTCCTTTTGATGTTCAGAATCTGATTGAGGTAGTGAAGGTTCGAACTCTAAAAGGCAAAGTTAAGAACATCAGTGACCACATCTCCGTCTACTCTAATCCAGCAATACAGGATCTAAAGACTGGCGCTTCTAGATTCACAAGTAGCCACAAGATAGCTCCTCAGAGATAGTCCTTAAGATTTGACCCCCATCAACCCCTAGTGTTTTCCTATGGATCTTCCCAGCCTGTCCGCTAAGCCTGTGTTATCTGATAGGATAGTCATGAGACACAGGGAGCTCTCTGTGCAGCCCTGGCTGGTTTGGGACTCATTCTGTAGACCAGGCTGGCCTCGAATTCACAGAGATCCGCCTGTCTCTGCCTCCCAAGTGCTGGGATTAAAGGTGTGCACACCACTAATCCCTGACTAGGGAGTTCTCTGAACTTATTGAGATAAAACAGAATTTGGTCCTCAGCTGTGCTGGGCATCTCAAGTGGCCACGGCTGTATAGCACCAGACAGATGGTCTCCCCCATGCCGGTGCTGCTCTTGTCAGATTTGGTGGCTCACCAGAGACAGGGTAGCATCCCAGGACTCCTAGAATTTTGACTTTTAAAAAAAGTACCAAAAAAAAAAAAAAAAGGTAAGAGGCAGAATTCTGCTGAAGTTTCAAACAAGAGCTGACTGGCTGCATTTGATGGATCACACAAGCAAGGTGTGACCCGTTGATTTTTCTTAGTCCCTAACTGCTGGGCACTGTGAATTGATTATGACCAGATGAGACTGAGTCGAGAGCCAGAGAAAAGTGATGTAGTCTTAGCTGACACGGCAGGTGTGGAAGGGTGCGGTGGGGAGGGGAGAGGTGACGGAGGGAGGCAGGGCCGGCCACAGGGCCCCTGAAATGCTCATCATGACGTCACTCTGGCAAGGCAAGAAGTCTAACTGTTAAGGCTTACTGCCTCAAAATGCCACTCTGGCTGCCACGCAAAGGGTCAGAGACAGTTAGTGCTCTTGAGCGGGCAATGACTGTGTGAGCTTAGAAAGAGAAGACAAGGGCGCAGGGTTGGAAGTGAGCAGAGGTAGGACACGGGAGGCAGCATGTTTCGAAGAAGTGATGACGGCATCGATAACCACCTCTCCAGCTACCTCACGTCCTACGGTATGCTCTATCTGCCCGGCACTGCTCGGTCCTTAGCTGACCGGACACGGAGTCCTCATTATAACCCCACGAGGGAAGGACTTCATTGATAGAAGTCATTTAAAAAAAATACTCATTTTTTATTTTGTGTGTGTGCCTAAGTATATGGGTGGACGCAACATGCGTTCAGGTACCTTGGAGGAAAAGAGGTCATTCGATCTCCAATTAACCTATAATTGGAGTTACAGAAAGCTGTAAGCTGCCTTCTGTGGGTGCTGGGAATCAAACTCAGGTCCTCTCTAAGAATAGCAAGTGTTCTTGAATGCTGAGTCATCTCTCCAGCCCCTACTCCATCGTCATCAAGAGGGGGTAGCCATGTAAATGCTGCACTTGTTCCTAGGGACTCAGGTTGGGTCCCTGCAAGTTTCAGGGTCATGACTATCAAAGGGTCGATGCCCAATCTTGTTTGGCATGTGTTTCTGTTTAAAGACATTTTATTTAATATATATTATTGATTTATTGATACTGAACTAGAAGCGCTTGCAACTCATGCTGGAGTGGAGCAGATCTGACACATGTTCTTCGTAAGTCATATCACAGTCTCACTGTGTTAACTGTGGCTCTAGGCTTGGGGACCACTTTCAACCAACAAAATCATGAAGAAGTACATAAATGTGAAAAAACCGCATCAGTGGACAGACAACGTCTGCTCACACCGAGACAGTGGGAACAAGCAGAACAACGCCTCGTGGGGCCACTGGGAACACCCTCCATGGCTCTAGAGCATCTTGTGGCTCTGCAGCCTTCCCGATGACTGCCAGACCACCAAGGCAGACAACCAGGGACAAGAAACGTTAGTGAGCCAGTGAGGACCAAATCTGAGGATAAAGAC